GAGAACAAAACAAAACATACAGAGTAAGACAATGCGAGACAGAAGAAAAACCAAGCACTGAGACAGAGGGCAGAGAGGCAGAGACAAAGAAAAACAGAGTCAGAGGAGCATACATTGCAGCGGCGCACAAAAGGAGAGGGAGGGAGCGAAAGTCAGAGAGCAGGGAGGGCTCAGAGAGACTGAGAGAGATGGAGAGAGTCGGAAAGCTTCATGTCCGCATGTTCTGCTTGTCATGTTGTGCACTTCCGTTGCAGTCCTTACGGGCTCCGCCCAGAGCCGACCCTGGGGAGGCGGGGGTGTTGTGCAGTTGTGCTGGGGGGGCACAGAAAGGGGCTTTGCAACCTCCAACGAGAGTGCCTCTCGTTTGAGTGGCTTTGAAGGTCTTCAAAACCGGGAAGGGGGCCGGGGGGGGGGTGGGGGGTCTGGGCCTGGGGATGAGGCACCTAGGCACGGTCACAAACGGGGATGTGGTGTGCTAAACCTAAACACTCCGACTCTGTCTCTTGTCTCTCTGCCGAAGTGGTGCTGTGGTCGCGGGTTGCTGAGCAGAGCTGCAACGGCAACGTTCGTGTTTTCTTCGATGGACGTGTCCGGGCTCTGCAGCGCAGGCACCTCAGACTTCTAAACTGCAGGGTAGATTGACTTTTGCAAGCAGATTCAGGACAGCGTCAAGTCAATGCAGCTCGGTGAAGGGCCAAAGGGTCCACTATGCAAGTCTAGGAAAGGGTTTGTGCTCATGTGCCTGTAAGCCTTAGTGTCGCTGACTGTGTCGTTGCACAGACTGACATGCCGCTTCTCAAGCGACCGAGTGCTGTTCTCGAAGCAGCCGCTTCTCGAAAGCGGCGGGTAACGACTCAGCAGACTTCCGGAGCATTTTCGTTGCCATCGAGCTGCAGCCGGGCGATTTTGGACATCAACGCTGGTGTCGAGGATCCGGCGGCAACGGAGGCGCAGAGGGCACTGTTGATCGCAGGGGGTCTCTGGCGTTCTCGAGTCATGTGTTGCCTGTGCAAGAGCTTGAATCTTTTCCTTTTTGCAGCCTAGAAAGTTAGAAAGGAGTCACACGTCCTTTGGGACTTTGCGCCTCTGCCTCGTTGTTTGAGTGGTTCCTGCCATCAGCACAGCATGAGCGCTACAGGCTTTCGTGTCGTAGCTGTTTGTGACAGCTGAACAACAGCCTTCGAGAGCACGGTGCATCGTCTTGGGCTCCACCATGGCCTTGAACTTCGACTCTCCCGAGGGTCAGCCCAGCCTGACTTCCGGGCCCTCCACTCAAGAGCCCACACCTTCGCCGGAGGGGCAGCAAGCCGTCCATCCTTCCGGCGATGTCAAGAAAGAGGTTGCAAATCTTGGGGCATTGCAAGGGCTGGCAAGAAAGCTGTCGAGCTCTGACCTTCCTGGAGACGAGAAATCTTCGGACAAGGCCAGCCACGCTGCACCTTCAGTTGCTGCGCCGTCAGTTGCTGCACCGTCGGAAGCTGGGGACCCACAGGATCCTGACGGGGTCGATGCGCCCCCGCCGCCGGCCCTCCCCGGCTGCTGCGACTTGTGCAGAAAGAAGGCACGTGCTGCCAAGAGCAAATTCTGTGGAGCGTGTCGATCAGATGTTTGTGCGGCAAAGCGGGATTGCGAGAAGAGCGAAAGGGGGCCCTGGTTTACCAAGCTGGCGAAGACCGGTGGGGCAGAGTTCGTTGACTTCATGTCAAGCTATGTGCGGGCCAATGGCAAGACACGGCGAAAGTACTCGCAACGCTGCAACTTCGACTTTGCCCGCTACGAAGAAGCCAAGCGGGTGCAGTCTTCCTTGAGACTGGGTTTCAAGGCAGGCTCGCACGTCGGCTCCCTTTGGCTTCTCCGTGAAGTGAGGAGTTAGGGTTGTCGTTTGCGACGGTCTTGTGACGTTGTGTCGGCATTTATCTTGACAGGCGATCTTCATGCACAAGGATCGTGCCATCAAGCACTGGATGTCCCGCCTGTCGATCTCTCGCATGGAGGCCAACGATAAGTGGGAGACGGAGAGAGCCAAGGCGAAGTTCGTGAAACACGACGGCCCGAATGGGGAGGACCGCATTCCTGTGAAGGAAGACGATTTCTTGATCGGCGAGGAAGGCATCTTGGAGGAGAAAGTGAAGGTGAAAGAACACAAGCGTGCAAAATACAACGCAGATGTCGACGCCCTCATGGAGGAAGGACTGCAAGGTCGTGCAATGAGCTCGGACCTGTTGGACAAGCACGGCTTCTCGGATTTCGACAATCCGGATCTCGTGAACGATTTCCTGGGCGGCAGAGCTGTGGCTCCCGAGCCTGTGTTTCCCCAGCAGGATCCTGACCAGGGCGCTGCAGAGGACTCCCCCAAGAAGCCGAAGACCTTTGATGCTGCGACCGAGCGCATCACACTGCAAACCAAGATTTTGCAGCTTGTTGACAAAGCCTTCAGCGACTTGCAGCAGTCTGTGAAGGAGGCCGAGGAGTGCAAGCAAAAAGCACAGGGCGAGACTGACGTCCCGGCCAGCGAAGCTGAGGCTCTGAGGCTCCTCAAAAGCCGTGCGGACGTTGCCAAGGTTGTCATGGGCGACTACGTCGCAGGAGTCTTCACCTACGAGCCTGCGGTGCTGCAGGCGAACAAGGAGGCCCTCGAGGAGAGTCTCAAGTCCACTGCGGCAGAGTTGTCTGACGTTGTGAACTCCGCCCCGTGCTTCGTCGACGCCGTCTGCAGCCTGGTTCAAGCCATCAAAGGCATCAGCAACTCCGATGAAAAGAAAGCGGTGGAGAGCGACTTCAAGCCCTTCCTGAACGCCAACGCGATCCTGAAGTCGGCGGTCAAGACGGCCTCGCAGAAGGCCATCAAGTTTGCGAAAGACCGCGCGGACAAGGTGGAGAAAGCCAAGCGGCAGAAGGAGCAGGAGGAGGCAAAAAGGCTCGCCGGAGAAGAGCGCAAGCGTCGTGCCGAGGAGTCCAAGCTGAACAAAGCAGCTGAGAAGCAAGGCAAGGTGGGTAGCTTGTTCGACATTGACTTCGCCAAGTTCTCCTTGCGACCCTTGGAGTTCAAAATCTTGAAGAACAAGGGTGATGTTGAGAAGCTTGACATGAATAAGCCATGGGCTGTCAAGCTGGATGAGAGCGACCTTCCTGCCTTCCAGGTGCTGTTAGCCGATGCAAAGGTCAAGGCTTCGCTTGACACGTTCATGTCCGGGTTTCCCGGATCAGCCGCATCCATGCAGGGCTCGAAGAGATTCAGCAATCCGGTCCAAGACAGCGGCAAGTTGCGAGCAGGGGCCCTCAAGGAGCTGGGGATCGAGGACTCTGTGCCGGAAGGTTGCTTTCCTGATTGGTTGATTGATGGATTGTTGTTTTTTTCCTGATTAGTTGATTGTTTGATGGATTGTTGTTTTTTTGGCAAGACCCTAAACCCTAAAACCCTACAACCCTACAACCCTAAAACCCTAAACCCTAAACCCTATTAAAGCCCAGGCTTGGATGCCAAGATGGTGGCCGCCCTCGGTGCGGTTGTGACCTTTGGCTATGGCGAAGATATGATGAGCTTCGGACTGGACACGTTTCAGCTCCCGTCTCTTCGAGTTCAAACCGTTGGCCATCGGGTGGTCGTCATGGTGGCGCTCGACAAGCTTTGCTCCTTCTTGAAAGCCGCTAAGAAAGGCGAGAATGTCAGCTACGCCGAGGTCCTGGACTTCCTGCAGACTGCCCAGCCAACCACCATTGCGGCTTTTCTGGCTGTTCATCCTGATGCCATGTGCCACTGCCTGCTCTCGAAGAACACCCTTGCCTTCGTGCCGGGCGGCTGGCTTCTGCAGGAGAAGGCCGGGGACACGTTACGCGTGGCTTTGCTGGGGCATGATGTTTTGTGCAGTTGCATCGCATCCAAAATCTTGCGGTTGTGAATAGATTTTGTCGCATACCCCTGCACCCCTTCGGCAGGTTCTCAATGTCCGCTGTGTTTTCGGCATCCGCATGGCATTCTGCCCATGCCTGAAGAAGAAGGACAGCTGCCTCGAGGTCTTGGCTGGGTGGTTGCCCGATGATGACGGGGCACAAGCTTCAAGCTTGGCATCGGCTTACAAGAAGGCCAACAGTGCATCGAGTGACTCGCCGTCTGGCGGTGATCAGGCGCAAATGGCTGCCGTGGAGGCAGCGCCCGCTGCAAACGTCTCGTCCTGATGCGAAGCCTCCTGCAATGTGCCCTCTCGGCTGTGATGTTTAATCTGCATCCTCTGTGAACACCTTGGATGCCAGTGATTTTCCATTCCATCGAAAGGTGGAGCTTGAGCTTTCGGGTAACAGCAGCAGGCAGCAGCTCTACTGTGTGCAGAAATTTTTCGGTCCGGCGGCCGAGGCACATGCAACCACTGTTTACTCCAGCTGCTATAGAACAAACTCTTCAGTATATTATCATATTGTTGATCGCTCTGCAGTTGTCCTGGGCAGAGCCGTGCCTCGAATTTCCTTTAAGCGCCCTTCGGCAACTTGGCCGAGGATTCAAAGACTGATCAGATCTCGAGCAGGAGTTGCAACAATGCTTTTCAGCTTCTCTGTGCGGGCCTTGCTTCCGGGGGACAATGAGCAAGCTAGTGTATATTTCTGCACACCTCATAGAGTTACAGTCGTGGTTGCTCCCAGCTGCATAACGACATGAACAGGCGATCACGGACAACCCAACTTTAACACCCAACTTACTGTACTTACTTCCTGCGTTGTAGCTCAGGTTGCCAGATCTTTCACAAATCTGTCTGTGTACTGTGTGTACAGCTTGTATCCATTCGCTCGGCATTGTCGATCCGTGCTCTGTTGACTGTTGCAGGTGCCACTCCCTACCGGCGGAGACGAAGTTTCGTGGTGCATGGGGTGGGCCAACAGACACCTCCTGCTACTTCCAGATGGAATGCTTGAGCTTTTCAAGAGGAACATGGCTGGCGGCATCCGGCTTCGAACAAGATTCTCTGGGATGGAGTGTCCCGGCCACGCAGCTCGAGCCATCGAGGAGGCTTGTGAAGCCAACGGCATCCATGTTCCGGCTGATCAGGGCTTCAGTCTCCACAGTGTGTGCGATTGTGATTCACGGGCAATGAAATGCTTGGATGCTTTGCGGCAGGATTCCACATGGGACAAGCTGAAGCCAGAGCATGTGTTCACGAAGATGGAGGATGCTGTGCTTCCCGCAGCTCTACAAGACATGCTAGAGATGGCTGCATCCCAAAAGGCTTCTTCCGACAGCGATGGTTGGCCTTTCATCCGTGCCTTGATGAAGCCGCTGATGGAGGACAAGGCCCTGCAGATGCAGTCTATGTGCCGGGTGCATGGTCGAGAGTGCGATGTATGTGGGGGTGAGACCAGTGCTCTCACTCTCGACGTCGCCGGTCCACCGTGTGTGGACTGGAGTCGGCGAGGACGGCGGGAACGTTCGCATGGTGCAACGGCGGTGCCATATGCCGTTTGGGTTTCCCAGCTTCTCTCTTCGGGATCCTGCCTCGGCATCCATGAGTGCACAACGGACTTTCCAGATTGGATGCTGGAGAGACCGCTTCACGAGTTTGGTGCCAGGTCATGGAAGATCGAGGTTTTCAGATTGGATCCAACAAACTTTGGGGTGCCTTGCAAAAGGCCCCGCAGGTACACAGTCTTGTGGAACGCTGCAAGAATCCGGTTTGGAGGATCTTTTGCGGAGTTTGTGAACTTATTCTTCACTCTGCCAGAGATTCATGGAGAAGTGTTTTTTCGTGCAGGTGCCGACCTCCCGAGCAATGCATCAAAGACACGTCTTGAAAACCTCCAGGCTTATTCGGATGAATGGCGATCGCGATGCCAGGATGGACGCTCCACCGCTGACAATATCTGCGACTTGAACCAGCGACCCAGTCATGGAAGGTTGGACCGCTTTGTGCCGACTTTGGTGACCCAGCAATCCGTATATTGCTTGCAAAAGCGCAAGTTGTTGTCGGCGACAGAGAGCTTGGAAACTCAGCTCTTACACCGCAGCTCTCCGGTGTATGAGCTCGCAGCATCCGGAGATTTGTCAGAAGCGGCCATCCGACACCTCGCTGGGAATGGCATGTCCGCCGTTTGCATCGGCACACTCATGATGTACGTGGTGGCCTGCACTTCGCCGGTTTCTGACCGTGATCGCGAGGCGTTCCAAAGTCGCTCAAGCTCGTCTCGGCTGTTTTGAACAGAGTTCGCAGTTCGCAGTGCAGGTGTCGCAGGTTTGCAAAAGAGACAGAGTTGCGCAGAGGAGGTCGGCTGCAGTTTTCGAAGCTTCTAGGAAGGTTTAGGCGGGCAGGTAGGTTTGCAGGTGCTCGTTTGTTGCACGGCTTGGGGTTTGGAGGTCGCAGATGATAGAACTGAGTGAGATTGAAGATTGAAGAAATTTCATACGGGATTTTCTCCCGAATATATTTCTCATGTTTTACATATTCCAATTCTTTTGACACTGTTTGGATTTGACAGATACGAATGCCACTCCCACGAGAGCGTTGCTGAGGCCCTGCAGCCACCAGCTGTTTCCCCGAAACATGTGGCACCGGCAGTGTGACTTAATTGTCAGAATGTTGTTTCTCCAATCATTTGTGGGGTGCGGATGCTATAGATGGAGATCGGGTCACCTCCTTGTCACCTTGTCCCCTGGCGTCGACATACAATTCGTTTTTTCATTTTCGTTTACCCACCCTGCAGCCCTTACAGCCAC